ATAAATGACTTGGGATTTGAAACCAGATGCTTTTAATTACTGAGTTTCTTTGTTACATGAACCTCAGCTCCACACCTGTACATTGTTCTTTCTTTGGACAGATGTACTGATGCCCCTTTTGCGTGCTCAGATCCATAACACTGAGATAAATTATGATGGGTTCTTGGCTTCCTCCATTGAAAATGTTTTCAGCTGTCAGAGATATCTGTTTCTTGTTATTGGTTTTAGTGCTTTTGAAAGAAAGACTAAAACACTGACTTGTGTATTCTATTATAAATGGAGAGTATTCTCCAGCGGAATCCACAATGAATGAATGATGTATCATCAGTCCTAAGAACTGTTATGATGTATCATCAGTCCTAGGAACTGTTATAAGAACTGTGGAGGTATTTAGTTCTCCAGAGTACTTCTAGAGAGTAAAAGTTCTTTCCTACAAAGGTTCTAGCAACATGCCATGAGTTCCTACTCAACTTATTTATGTGAGCCCACAAACTTAAAGATTAATAGACGTAAGTAGTTAAAACACCTCTATCATAAAGTAATGAGAATTAGGTATAGAAACATATTTTCCTACCTGTCCTGGATTCTGCCAGTTCAAGGAGATAGCATAGAAAAGAATCTCCCCCTTTTCTTCTACTGGTTTTGGGGTGATTTCTTAAACCCTATCCCAGAAACAGTCATGCTTCAGAAAACTGGCTGCTTGCAAAGAGCACTGAAACTCTTACAGCCACAGTCTGACTGTGGTCCCATCTGATGAGCAAGCACCCACCAAACCCTTTATATGCCACCATCATGTCCCAGCTCTGCAGCTCGCTGAGAGCAGGTAGAGGGGGCTGGACCACATTCTGCTTTGAAATGGAGGCATCTGAGGGGGCCCTGGCAATGTGTGTTACAAGGGCTTAAACAGGGGTAGGAGCTGGCTTACAGCCTCTTATTGCCAACGTGTAACATGGTAGCTGTATACACAAATCTAACACACCAAGATTTTATCTTACATATTTGTTTTCAACCTTAAATGTACCGGGAATTTCAAATCTGGTGTTCCCTGGCTGAGCAAGAAGGGAAGCTCTGGGTACCTGCTGTTACTTCATGTAAAGAGAAAGGAAGGAAGGACTAAATTGTTAACAGAGAACTCTTTACATTAAAGTACTTCTATGGTATTTGACTTAACAGGTGCTAAGTAGCAAGCAAACAACACTGATGTTCAAGCAGCCTGAATAAAATGTCTCTTTTCACTTGATTGTTCCTAAAACCTATTGTGATTTTTGTATAGGTTAAGTGGCTCTTCAGGGGGGTCTGGAACATAGCTTGAGCTGGTTACAGTTAGCTGGTGAGAACCCCAGCAAAAGAGAGTGTAAGCTCCTTCCTCTAACCTTGATTACTTGATCCCTTATATTAAAGACGCACAAGATTAGATTGAGAGCTCTCATTAATCACCACCTATGGACATCATCACAGATGTCTTAATCCCACTCGTTCTTCATGTACTGTTGTGTTTACAGAGCAGAAATGGAATATAAAAAATAGGTTCACTTTCCTTCCCCTTGGAGACACATCAACCTTCCCGATACAGTGATTATTTGTCAGTACCCCCAGCTTCTTTGGAGAACATAAGTGCTGTTTGTTATTGGCAACACAAGTGACAGAGGGCCTCAGTGCCATATAGAGGGACCGTGTTCCGACCCTACAAAGTGACCTTGTTAGGTCATTAAGCTAAATTGGTGCAAATCCCTAACTTGGTGCCACCACTCAACCTCACTTAACTTTATTCCTATCAGTTTCATTTAAGCTGATAATTTATCACAATAAATAGTCCAAACTGGAATTTACAGAGATGGTTTACCCTTGAAATTAAGCACATTTTAAAATGACTTAGATAGTAACAGCTAACAAAATAGCAGAAAGAAAGCCAAGTGCAACATTCACCTAAGATTTAATACCAAAAGCTGGTTTTCTGTCTTCATTCTGCTACAAATCAAACCGGACTATTTTTGCAATGGGCAAAATGAAACTGGGTTAGACATTACACATGGCACGGGCTACAAGAAATGCTAAAATAAACCTTTGCTACCTGAAATAAAAATTAAATGTATATTTAAACCTGGATTATGACAAACCCACTTTCTGGGTGCCAAAATATTTCTCAGTCACACACTTTTAGTTTAATTAGTACCAATATGAGTAAAAATTGTGGTCTAGCATACACCTCATGCCAGCAGTTGAAAAAATACTCTCTGTATTGTATAAAGCCAGTATAAATACATTTGGTAATGAAGTCAGATTTTGTTAGAGCATTTTCAAGTGAATTAGATAATTTTGTCAAACTATTTAAATGTCTTAGCAAACCATTTGGAAAATCGACTGCTGCGCTTGGTATTGACTTTGGCAAAGGGTGGTATAACAGAGGGCTTTTTTTAAAGAATAAGAAAACCCCTTTAAATCAAATTCGGACTCTTATGTCAAACTGGAGTAGACTATTTGTACTCTGCTTCATGTCGTTTTTGGCATCGTGCATATTTGATGACTCAGTAATTAGATTTCTTGATAGTAATCATTTGGTTCATTCCACAGACCGAAACTATGCAATCCAGGCTTGTCGTCAGACTGATTCACAGTATAGAAATTCTTTGCATTTACTTAAACATGAATGCTGAGACAGCTGACAAATGAGGCAAAACATTCTGTGTGTGCCAGAAGGCAGCTAATATGAAGAAAGGCAGTGGTGGGTGTTTCTTTCCTATTGTAGGCCATATATATTTCATATGAGTAATGGCATACTGCTATGAACTGGCAAAAGTGTAACAGTTCTACAATTCAGTGGCTCCAAGTATTAGATTATTAAGTGATTTTGCCCAGTTAAATGGATGAATGCTTTAAACAAAACTGTGCAAAATGAAATTCAAGGCCTATTAGTTCACACTAAGTTTCTCTACTTGCAATTGAAATGTCATGCGTGGGCTTCATTTCAGCAGTCATTAATAATGTAAGCATAAACAATTAGAGACAGCAAAAGGATCTTGGACTGGGTATGACGATGCTGCGTGTGGATTATTTTGAGTTTAAAACAGGATATTTGAGATGCTGAAAAATTCCATGTAATTATGTCATGAAACTAGATAGCCTGTTTTAAAATAACTACTCAAAAATACATGCCACTTTCCATTTTCTGATGGTTGGTTCACAGTTAGAAATCCGTTATCATTTCACTCTTACATTTTGTCATAGGATATTAACGATGGTGTTTCTGCAAAGACTCTACATTATGTAGGTGTATAGGCACTGAGATAATAATCAGCACTTCTGTGATGAAGAATAGCGATTGCACTAGACCTGAAAACAGCAGACATCAACGGTGGCATCACCTCTGGTCTAAGCAAATGCTCAAAATGCTGTAGCAGGAGCGCAGTGAGAAACTCAGCTCACTCAAGCATGGTGTTTCTGGAATGGAGACATGAAGGGCACCAAGAGTTTATCAGCGAGCTTCAGGCCCCTCAAATCGGAAAACTGTCTCCCTCATTCTGGTCAAGTCTTTGCTTTCATTTCTTATGAACTTCACCTGGATGTGAAGTGCCTCAGAAACAAATCCACTTCCCCGACGGCCTATTAAATCCTTCCCATGGTATATCCTTACTTCACTTTATTCTTTGTTGGGGTTTTTTGCCTTAACTCCCCTAGGAACCAGCTCCAAGAGGAAACAGCTGAGCAGCACACAGGGAGCACTGAGAGGAAGGGATCCTACTCCCCCAGGCTCAAGTAGTCCCATTCTGCTCATGAATTACCTTCACTCTGCACTGTCTCTATTCCTCCTATTTGTGCTCACTGCCTTCTCCACTATAGAAAGCTTTGCATGTACCTAGTGTAATTTCCATCTAAATAGCATTCCCAATGCCTTCTGTTGCCCATGACTCTGCCAACAGGAAATACAAAGCTGGGAATGTGGGTGGCAGGGCAGGGAAGGAAAAGAGCATAGGCATCTTATGTGACAGGGACAGGATGAGTCTGTTCCTGTGAGCATCACACATTGGGAGGGAGCACTGGTACCTGCTACTGGCACAGGTCAAAAGAGATGGCTGACCAAGGAACAGGGTACAGATGCTAAGGTTGTTACAAGGGGGATAGGTCAGTGACAGGGCTAGGATGGGAAAACTCTACATTCAGTTGCTGTATTCAGTAAAGAACCCCAAAGTATTTTTAGGAACAAAAATCCCTGAATCTCTCTGTATCCCAAGTTCCCATCAGTAAAGCAAAATCAGAGCCCCCCTCCCACTCCCAAGTGCTGGGAAATAAAACTGTAAGTTTGACGTTTAATTTGCATGAGGCTAGGTGCCAAAAAAAGCCTGAGCAAAAAGATTAGAGCATAATTTTGTGGCTTACAGAGATTCTTTACTGTTGAGATGTTATGATATCCTTGAGCAAATGGTACTCTAGAAATGTGAGATACCGTAGCAATGCAATGCAATCCATACTGTAGCAATACAATCGATGTATCAGAGTGATAATACACACTTCCCTACTTAGGATCTCACTGATTAATGCCTGCTGTTGAGAAATGTGTTACTGAGAATCTTATCAGAGAGTGAGGAAGTGAGAAAACTTGCTGCTCTGACACTAAATAAGTCTTACTAAGGCAAACACTGCCTTATTCCTGAGTCATGGTCTGGGGGTTTGAGAGAGTTCTCATTTGAGCTGAGAAAAATTCTCTGCATTTATCCAAACCTGTCAGAAGTCATCAAGGAGAATAAAGAAAAAGCAGAATCTAAATGTAATTGCATGCTACGGAGAAACAAGGCCAAGGCCCTGAATAACCCTCAATAAAAGTCAAAGTTTGCCCTGCTTTGCACAGAGGATGGATGACGTGACCTTCTGAGGTTCTTTAAAACTAGATTAATCTGATTCTAAACCAAACAGAATCAGTTTGGGGCAGTGTTTTCCATTGGAACAGCATCCATACAAAGTAAAATATACAATTAATTATTCATTATCATCTTTCACACACATACCCATCCCTGGCACTCTCCAACGGTGACTGGTGGTGATGTGGGCTGGAAAGGGTAGAGTCGAGTGAATGGTGTCTTGAAGGGATGTCATGAGGAGGTGCCAATATACCTGGTGAGGGACCGTTATGGTTAGCGCTGGAGCCACTGTACATGCCTGTGAACACACAGCATATTGCAAAATCAGATAAGCAAGAAAACATCCAAATAACTCCTGGAGAGTCCCCAACTCCTTCCCTGTTCCCCCACCTGACCCCGAGACACACACACAGCAGCCCACTTCGGCTGGGGGAGTCACCTGCATGGTGCCCAGTATGTCAGTGAATCCTGCTGTGCTTGGAACAGCACTCAAAGTCACACCAAGGCATCTTGACACGTGTCTCTCCTCCAGCCCTCAGGTGGTCTGCTTCTTCCTTGCTCTGACTGCAGACCTGTAAGCACTCCTACTGCCAGCCAGCAGGACTTGGCAGGACTCCCACCCTTGCCCTTACCACACTTCTGAGTGAGAACCTGCAGTGCTCAGTTGTTTGCAGCATGATGGAGCTCATTTGACAGCAGAGCGGTACCTGATACCAGCATCACGTCAGACCCTGAACTCAGAGCACTGTGTTTGCATTAGGGGGGTCAGGACCTGGGTTTTGGGGTTTTTTTTTTGTTGGTAATTTCAAACTTTTTAACTTGACTTTCAAGCAGGAGAAATTTGTAGTGAGACCACGAAAACAAAAGGTTTACACAGAGGTACTGAAGGATGTTGATGTTCCATTTTAGGGGGCACGCTGGCTACTCTCCTCTACCATGGCAGTCAGGCACCAATAGCCAAGTGTCTGCCATGCCCTCAAGTGTGTACTTTGTTGAGGAAGGCTGGTCCAGGGCTCGTGGATTACGTTTTTTCTTATAGTCTTCCTTATAAAGAGTATGATGTGCACTAAGACAGACCTAAGGGATCAGGGCCTTGACACTGACTTTTGGCATGAAGACTGCACTGGGGGCCTGTCCCTGTAATGAGGGGAGCTCACAGAAGTGCTTGCTGCCTGGAGTTACAAATGCTGTTTGCAAATGCCACCCTATCACAGGGGGAAAACAGGACTGTCTCCTGGTCGGCACAGTTCTTGACAAAACCTAGTCTTTCTTCTCTCTATTTCTCTGCCCTCCTCCTCCTGTTCTTAAAGCTTGCCTACAACGTACCTCCCAGTGTTTTGGCCAGGGAATGTGCACACAGTGGAGGAATGGAGCAAGCACTCACATTGTATTCTGAAGGCTGTAGGGAGCAAATGAAGTTTGCTGTCCCGTAGTGTCAAGCTATACAGCACAGATGACCCCATACCCTCTCCGAAGCCTTCCTCCTGTAGCACCCATCTTTCCTCTCCCATTCTCTGCAAGCAGAACTACACATTCAGGAAGCTGTGTGACAGCTCTGCTGCCTGCATCCCGTGTCACTGACAGGGTTCTGGATGGAACTGCTCCCAAACCTCGCAGTGACACAGAGCAACCAGAAGGGAACATGAAAATCTGGAGCTGTGGGGAGTGTGTGACAGCCCTCTGGGCAGATAAGCAACAGCTGAAGGTCAGCATCTGTTTCTGAAGAGCAGAACCACTAAGGCGAGATTCCAGCCACCTTTGTCAGGGACTTAGGATGAGTCAAAAACCTCTCATGAACAATGAGTCCTCAGCTGTTGGACAGATCTAAAGCAACAAAAACGAACCGCGTCTCCCACTAGGCAGAACATTTGTCAATCAGCCAGTGAAACCAACTTGCTTTCTGCACCAAAAGCCAGACAGAAGGGGCTTTCAGAAGTCAGATGTTCCCAGGTGATGCTAGGATTTATTTGTCAAAGTCTCTTCTGATAACAGTAAAGTCAGTAGCTAGGATGCTATATTGTGAGAATGGCATTTTTCTACTGGTGGCTTCAGTCCATTTTATAATACAATAGTTTCCACTCCCCCAGATCCTCACTGTTCATACATCCATTATCAGGCTTGGAAGGTGAGCCAAATACCAATTTGACCTTGTCTGTACTGTGTCATTTCACACTTCAGCTGCATCTCCTACAACACACAGTGCAGGTATATTGGCAGCACAGCCCAGAGGAAAGTGCTGAACCTAAACCAAGATGTTTGTGCTCTCTAAGGCTGGCAGACGATTACTGGCCCCTGTCAATAACTCACACAAAAAGCTCAAAACCCCTCAGAAGGTAGTTTTAGCAGTGTGGTCACCAGTAAACACACTCCAATGTTTTACCTTACATTCCCATCCAGAACAGTTCACGAATGTTAGAAGTATCTCTCCTGGCCCCTTCCTTACTGTTGCAGCTATTGAGCGCAGTTCAGTTCTTTGCTTGAGGTAGATGAGAAAGAGTAGCAGAGTACTTACAATCAGCATACCCCTCTAGAGAAGCAAGAAGATGTTAAAGAGGAAACACCTCCCACATCCAGATGTCCAGGAGCCAAGTCCTGCATGATCCCATGCGCTCAAAGCCTCCTCATCAGAAAACCAAATGAAACCATAATCCCTGTCACCCTTAGTTTCTGCCATACCCAGCCCCTGTGCAGAGGAGTTCACCCATCTGCCCACTTCTGGCTCTGAAGCGTAAAGCTTGGACCTCCTCTCCTGGATAAAGCAGTGTTTCTTCCATCTACCCTGAGTCTATCCAACCTTTGACTTAGTGATCACACCCCCTCTGGCCAAGGTCCCTGCTTGGAGCATGTGTGTGCTGTGGCTTGCCGGGTTTGTTCATCAGTGAGTTTTCCTCTTCCTACATCTTTTCCTCACCACAACGCCTTCACTCATGCTCAGTTTGACACATGGAGTCTCTTGTTCTCACATCCCCTCACCCCCCTTCCACACCGCAGCTTGCGCTGCCTCACCCCAGAAGCTGCCGGCTCCCCTTGCGCTGACACCCCTCTCCATAGCATCACCCAATCAACAGCCTGCCACAAGATGAGGGTAAAACCAGCTGTTGCCTGTGACACTGCCAGATGTGGTGCTCCACGTGTGCTGCCTGCTGCCAAGCAGCATGTGTCACAGCTGAGCCTCTCCCGCGCCCGGAACACTCACTTTGGGTGCCACTCTCTGGTAGCCAGCTGCCAGTATTCATGAGGCTCATCAGAAGGCAATTATCTGTGAGGGATTTGTAATGCTCATGGGTTTCCAAAGGGACTGTGGGGAAGGGGACTGACACACATGTGGGCAGAGAGGTGAGCAGAATGACTGCATCAACCGTGCTTCCTAAGGAACTGAGACCAAACCCGGTTCCGATGTGTACCGTGTGTGTCGCTCAGGCACAGGGCTAGTGGGGGAATGGGGGAGCTGGCATCAGACACAGTGATGTGTGCTCCTGGGCTGGAGGGTGAGGCTCTCAGACTGCACAGCTTACCATTTGGGTGAGGGCTGCACCCACCCCTGAAGCTTCTGGATGGAGAGAAAGCCAAAACACGAGCCAACATAGACAAAGAATCAACCCTATTGTTCACTTGCTTCGCTTGCAAGGGGTGTCTGCCTGTAATTAAGAGTGCTTCAAGGGCCGTGTGGCACACACAATGGAAGATGGGGTTCACTATGAGTTTCCATGTGAGTCTGCAATGAGACATTAGTCATTTCTGTTGAGTCACTGAGAACCAAATTGGTACTTGCTTGAAGTTAAAAGTTATCTTCTACACAGTGCAAAACAAGGGCACTCCAACAGAACATTAACGTCCTTCAGAGGAACAGACCTTTCTATGGTCATGGCACTGTGCAGGGCACACTGTTCTTGGTGCTGTGAATGCTATCAGCTCTCAGTCATTTATGCTGCTACTGGAATTCATTTTGACACGTTTTTATTCCAGGCTTCAGGCCCTCAAAGTCTGGAGCTGCTGTCACTGATTCCGTGTCTACCCAATGGTGTGTTCCTGGGTGTTAAGCCCAAAGATGGTGCTTTAAGGACGTATTGGCAGTGGCTGCTTATCAGGAAAGAGGGTGAGCTGCCTCATTCAGGGAAGCAGGAGGTACCTGCTGCTATGAGGGTGTGTGATGTCCTTCCCACTGCCAAGCCCTAACAGAAAGGAAGAGCTGTTTGAGGGGAGGGAAATGCTGTCCTTAATGAAGATCCCTTTGCCCCTTTGAGGAAATGAGGTGCCTCTACAATGGAAGAAGTCAAGGAGAGAAGAGCAGTTGCAATTCCAGCCTCAGTATAATTTAATACTTCTAATTTTGCTCCTTTTACAGCTTTTCAGCAGTGAGCTATAATATTCTGAGTACCTGACGTCAAACAGAAGCCTTTGGAGCTGTTAGGAATGCCTGTTCCTGCAAGTACAACCCACTTCAGGACTCTGCGCCTTGGGCCTCTTCATGCATTGACCATCTTAGCTTGTAAATATATGTCATCAATCAGTATTTTAAATGGCTTGGCCTTTAGCCTTAACATCTGCTGCCAAAGCAGTACACAGGCATCTGTGACAAGAGCCTGTTTTTAACCCAGCTTTATGCTAACTGAGACCAGAAAAACAATAGCAAAACATGGCCAGAGAAAATGCCCGAGTGGAATTGCCTCAATGGAGACACTTCCTCTGCAGGGAGAGCGACACGAGCTCACAGCTAGAGCTGAATGTTCGCAGCCATGAAGCATCTTAGTTATGAGGAGGGAAAAAGGAGGAAGTTCTAAGGAAACAATGGGTTCTTCTGGCTGCAAAACATCCTTTTGCTCACTGTCTTACCCTAAGCACAAACCTGCTTTGAAGTCAGGCACAAGGGATGGGAGCTTTTGAAATATTTCATTTTTCCTGGGATTGGTTTTCATCCCTGACATATTTAAAATGTGCTTTAACTTGGAGAAAGACAAAACTGAAACTCTCCAGGAATCCAAGTGATCCCTAAAGCCCAGAGCTCTGCACATTAATAATGTGGTTTCTTGGGGAGGGGAGGGGAAAAAACCCCAAAACTCAAAACAAAAAACCCCAAACCATGAACATTTTCATATTTCCCAGTGGAATCAAGAGGACATCATATGCTGTACTTATCCATGAATATCCTGTATAGACTACTGGAGCTGATTTCTCTGGGAATATTAGCTCTGATTGTCTGAAAGAGCAAATGTGCAACCATTGCAGAGAGTGGCTGCAGAGGTGGCAGAAGGAATATCCTTATGATTTAATTCTGTAAGGATCAGCACTTTAGTTTACATACCCTAAATTATGACAGAGGAACAGGTTTGCCTATGGAATTGTACTACACATAGTAGAAGAAACTTCTGTTTCACTGTAAAACAGTCTTTCAAATCTTGATTTATTTTCACTGCCACTTCTTCATACTGTGCATGAGACGGGTCTCATATGGGGTGACCCAATGGAAGCATTGGGGAAGACTTACTAGGTTTTTTACAACATCCTGGTGCTGGATTGATATAATCAGCAAAGAAATCATAGCAGAGAAAGGCAGTGTTAGTGATAGACAAAACGTTTCATTTCAGAAGAGGTTCTCAGAGATGACACTGAGAGGTTAGGGATGGTCTGTTTATCTGCAAGCAAGTAACTTCTTTCCTGCTTCATTGTTGTCACTTGAAATCTGGGGCGATTTCTGAGGTTCTTAAGCAAAGCCTGTTCTGAGGGAAACATCCCTGCTCTGCCCTGTCCTGCCTGGAAGTGAGAGGCCAAGCCATGCCGAGGGTGGAGAGCAGAGGCTGCGTGCTGCCCTCACAGATCTCAAGAGCGCAGATGACAGAGGTAGAGAAGGGAAACAATCCCACCAAGTCCCTCCAGCTTTCTGCCCCATACAACCCCTGAGTAAACCCAAGGGAGCAACATTGGAATGATGGGTTATTTCCCTTTCTCCTCCATTCTGTTCACCAGTTACATTCCAACATTTTAGCACAACTTGAACTAGAAAGGAGAACGGGTGTCAAGCAGCATGCATTTCTTGGCTTAGTTTTTAAGATCTTGCCTAAGTAATGTTTAGTGCTTTATTACTTTGCTCTTTCAAAGCATGATACATTAATAAAGTGCATCAGTTCTTCCCTTGGTGCAGAGGAACCAGCGCCATGCATTTTTGTTTTCTAATCCCAGTTTACCATTGGAATTCTCTAAGCCTCAACAGAAACAAGCCAGGGTTTGGCTGGAAAGCTCTTACTAAATCGATTTAAAACTTATTCAGTAATAGCAAGTCAAGCCTCTTCTCACAGTGGAATTGAAAGAGGATAAAGTGCATCTTAAATCAAGGTTAATTTAGCTCTAAATTAAATCATTTTATGAATAATTTTGGACTTTAATAGCACTGAACTTTTCTAATATTGACCAAGGTTGAAAGAAAAGTCTTCAAAAATGGCATCCCTGCTTTTCTGTGTCTCACCTTGGCTCTGCTTTACAATCTGAAGACTTTCTCCTATGAGGAAAGCCTAAGGGAGCTGGGCTTGTTCAGCCTGGAGAAGACAAGGCTCTGGGAAGACCTTATTGTGTGGCCTTTCAGTGTATAAATGGAGACTATAAGAAAGATGGGGACAAGCTTTTTAGCAGGGCCTGTTGCGATAGGACAAGGGGTGATGGTTTTAAACTGAAAGAGGAGAGATTCAGACTTGATGCAAGGAAGAAATCCTTTACAATGAGGGTGCTGAGGCGCTGGCACAGGGTGCCCAGAGAAGCTGTGGCTGCCCCGTCCCTGGCAGTGTTCAAGGCCAGGTTGGACACAGGGGCTTGGAGCAAGCTGCTCTAGTGGAAGGTGTCCCTGCCTGTGGCAGGGATTGGAGATGGATGAGCTCTAAGGTGCCTTCCAACCCAAAGAATTCTATGATTTTATGATTCAAACTGTCTCCCACTCTTAGGCATATCATGTGGTATACCAGCCTCCAAATTCCTTGTCCCCATATTAGGAACAGTCTGTCCAAAACTTAGTATGCATTATTTGTTAAACAGTGAGAGAATGAAAATGTGATTAATAAATGTTACATCTCTTTTCCTGGAGATTCTTTACAGACCATACAACGTGTGAGGTATAAAATGCCACCATCCATCCATCCCATTTCCAATGTGCAGCTGTCATTAAAAAAATGAGTTCAAAATACAGGGATGCATCTGGAACATGAGAGAGAATCACCCAAGAAAACACAGTGACAGCTTCTTCATCAGGTGCATGGCGCAGTCTGGAGTTTTGTGCATAGTATTGGTTACCCATCCCAAAATGGATGTTAGAGAGTTAGAGAAGTTTCAAAGGCAGTAACATGAACGGTTCTCTGAAAGCAGGTTCCACAAAGCACACCAAGTAAATGTCTATGTGCATTTTTTTCTCATGGAGCATCATCTGAAAGTTGCATGTTCAAAATTAATCAAGAAAAGTAAAAGCCCCCCCCCAAAGTGAGGGCTCTGTAACCCACTGGTTGATAGATGATGTTGCTGAAGGCAAGAATAAGGATGAACATTAGAAAAGGGGATAAATAGTTATATGGATAGAAAGAGATTTGAGAGTGAAAACACCTAAATGAAAGGTTCCTCACACTAATCTCTACCATCAGTGGAGGGATACGAGTGCCTTTACAAGGTGAGGCAGATCACATTAAACTCATGGCCTTTGAGAGTTCCTCTTTCTCTCAGCTGGCTAAACAAAGAACCTGAGATTGCTACATCCCTGATTTGGGAGCCTCCGATGAGGTTCAGAAGTTGTGAATCTAGATGTTATTTTCTGCAGAAGGGAATGGAAGCATCTTTTCTCTTCCTATAAGATGTATGGAACAGCCTACGGTCCCTGAAAGGGGCCAGCTCTTGTTCAACCCACAAGAAAGAAAAGACAGACAAGAAGGAATGAAAGAAAGATTAAATACTAGAAAAGATAATTAAACCAGCATGTTTGACATTTCACATTCAAGCTTTGCTCCATTCATACATCACCATATTATTTGTTACAACCACACAGTGCATGATAATACACAGCCTCATCAACTCTTCTGCAGCTCCTGAAGAGCTGGAAACCCTTATGGCTGCGTGCCTTTGTCTTTGCCAGAGCACTCGTTTGGCTCCAGCAAAGCTCATGCACCTGCATTCTGCTCAAGCCAAGGCAAACTTCTAAATGGACAGAGGCTGACCTTCAGCAGGGCTGCTACACCCCTCATGTGAAATTAATAGGAGCCATTTGGCTGACTAACTCTGCTAAAAAAACCACTCAGGCCTTAGTAAACAACTCCCAAATTAGTTCATTTTATTTCCTGGGTTGGGTTGGGGTTTTTTTCATCTTCCATAGTGGCAAATCAGACCCAAAAGCTTTTCTGGTTTAGATCCTCTATTACATGACATATTTAACACCATACTTATTTGAAGTATTCTTACCTGTAATTAAATCATGATGACCTACAGATCTACCACACTTGCCATCCAAAATGTGTTGTGAAGATGTGTGGAGCTGTTGCATAGCTAAGCATTCACTTAGTACATCTTGTTCAATGTCCGTACAGGAATTTAGCTACAAGAGGAGGATAAAACAAACACTTTATTCCAATGTAAATCATATTACTTTTAATTAAATTAATATCTCTTTTTGCTTAAAGATTATGTATAGAAGGAAGGAATAAAAATGTCATTCTTAGGAACTCGGTGTAATTACTTGGCATTTTCAATTAGAGATAATTTGGGTTTTTTCAAGTTTTTACTTGGAGTATTGTGTGCAGTTCTGGTGTCCTCAACATAAAAAGGACATGGAACTGTTGGAACAAGTCCAGAGGAGGCCACGAGAATGATCAGGGGACTGGAGCACCTCCCGTATGAAGACAGGCTGAGAAAGTTGGGGCTGTTCAGCCTGGAGAAGAGAAGGCTGCATGGAGACCTCATAGCAGCCTTCCAGTATCTGAAGGGGGCCTATAGGGATGCTAGGGATGGACTCTTCATTAGGGACTGTAGTGATAGGACAAGGGGTAATGGGTTAAAACTTAAACAGGGGAAGTTTAGATTGGATATAAGGAGGAAATTCTTTCCTGTTAGGGTGGTGAGGCACTGGAATGGGTTGCCCAGGGAGGTTGTGAATGCTCCATCCCTGGCAGTGTTCAAGGCCAGGCTGGACGAAGCCTTGGGTGATATGGTTTAGTGTGAGGTGTCCTTGCCCATGGCAGGGGGGTTGGAACTGGATGATCTTAAGGTCCTTTCCAACCCTGACTATTCTATGATTCTAAGTGCTGCTATGATTCTAAGTTCAAACCTTCCCAAGTAATCTAACTCGTATTTTCAAGCTTTCTGTATTTCCTTGGGTTCTGTGGCAAAAGGTTTGCCTCACCTTGTAACTGTGACACTCAGAAAGACATCTGATAGGGAAAGAAAAGCGTTTGTGCTTATCAGATTAGGAGTGGTGGAATAATGCGCTGTCAGTAACGGGTAGGAGCTATCACCGATACATCAGCTGTGCTCCATGTAAATTAAAGCTCTGGCAAAAGTGTCTGAAGCAAACTCTTGCAAACCACAACGTCGATCATATTAAAACCAGCAGGAGAGGAGAATTAAGAAAGAAAAGCATTTCTAATTCTCTTTCAAACATGCTGATGCTGCCAAGCTTTTGTCATAATATAGTGCTCACATTACACAAACAGCCATCATATTCTATAGCCATTAATAAATAGTTATTGTCTTTGCGTTTACAGTTTTGCATACCAATCTCCCCTGGGTTTGGTTATTCTAAAGGGTCCAGGCAAACCTGTTTAGACCTCTGCTGTACAGCCATTTGCTCCTTCAAGATAAACATCTAACTTTTGGATCACAAAGTGCATCTGCAGCCAATTACATTCAAACTACTACTAAATTAACAGCTAACTTTCTCCTATTTTGCTCTTGTAAAGCCTTGCAGAACAACCCAATATTACCACTGCAGTCCTCTCCTAAGTTATGAACTAAATACTCAGGATTCCTTTGATGTAAGTGTAAGCTCAGGCATTTTGTTTTGTGTCAGAGGTGGCACATTTTGGTAGCATATATCAACCAAGCCATGTGGGCAGAGCAGCCTGTTAATGGCTAAGCCATTTCCACTCAGAACTCCTGGGAAGCTGATGCCAATGGACAACTGCCTTTGCTGAGTTATAACCAAAAACCAGTGAGTGTAAACAGCCTTTTTTCCTAAATCTGAAGACTGTCACTGTTTCAGTAACACTGAGATTTACTTAGCTGTGAAAGGGGTTTTTCCCCATATATTTAAGTGAAATATGGGGGGGGGGGGGGGGGGAGTGCATGTGTGTGTATTATTTCTTCATGAGTCAGATTTGCTTTGGTCCCTTTTAAGGGACCCTGATCAAAATGCAGTTTAAATCTGCTGCTTTTGCAGATGCCTTTTAAGTTCAAGGGAAAAAGATACAGGATCAAGTACTCATAAAGTTATCATGGGTAAATGAGACAGGAAATCTGAAGATGATTTCCAACCACTGGAGGAGTGCAGATTTAGGCTGATCTACCAAATAAGGTGTGGGAGGCAAGGAACTACCATTATTTTAGGATAGACTTGATAAGCCTATGCAAGGGTGTGTATATGAATGCAGGAAAATTCCTCAAGCTAGGAGATTGAGAAAGATGAAACTCTGGATATTTGATGTCTCAGTACACCCAAGCAGCTTGAGTTTGCAATCTGCATGTACCACGTTTGTCCCATATGGATTCTGTGCCTAAGACCTCTGCTGTTTATGGAGGAAACACTTCATGCAACTTAATGCAAAATTTGGATTTAGGGTTTTTTCTCACCTTCCTCCATAGAAGTGGAAATAGAATTGTCACTCCGCAGGTGACAAGCCTCACAAGGTGTAACAGTGGGGACTGTTCCTTTGCCCTGATATAAAGGATGTTAACGTGTTGATGCACTCAGCCCAGTACACAGTGCTGAACAAATGATACCCGTGCTAGGTAACAGGAAATAACTCCCCCCTTCCTTTCCCAAGAAGTATGTCAGGAAGGAAAGATGGAGGGTTCTCTTCTTTGGAATAGGGAGCATGGTTGCTTTCATGCACCTCTTTCTGTGGGCACTTACTGCTATGGCTTTCTGACTCTTTCCCTCACTAAACCCTAAACGTTGCTGTAGGGAAGTGTTAGGAGTTTTGTGACCTGTGGTGTGGTAGGCATATGCATAGCAAACCCTGTGGAACCTGCTGAAGTAAAACTACATGGCCTGATAATATAGCAGTGGGCTGGAATACTAGGCAGTCCTGCCCACTCCTGCCAGGCCAAACAAAAAGTTTAGACCAGTCTAACTGGTCTAGACTGGACCCAATACGCAGAGACAACAGATGTGTTTCTGTGCACATCTGGAGAGGTGCTAGGCATGAATTACTCCCAGGCACAAAGCTCAGCGAGTAATGAGTGCTTCTTGACTGACTGAAACAGTGTGCACAACTCTGGACATTGATGTTCTAGACACTGTTACTCAGTCTGCATGCACCTGATGCAGAGCAGGGATTGTGGGAAGGACCGGGGGACAGACAGCAGTCCTAGGAAAGGGGGACTGTAAATTCAGGTTGATGAATTTGGCCAAGTGAAAACTGTAAAAGAGAAGCAGCAGGAGTGTAAAAGAGGGGGCATGGCTGACACAAGGACAAATCACTACGAAGTCACCACAGTTGTATTCAAGCAGGAGAATGAGGTCTTCCTGACATTCCAAAGTCTGCAACTAAGATCACCTGTGCTCTCCTGTTGTCTCTTCTTTCCACGTGTTCCTCCCTTTGCTCTCCAGTACTTCTGATTTTCACCTTTGACATTTTTCCAAACTGGCTGTTCCTAGCTCTGTCTTGACAGGCTGTCATATCTGCTGTCCTCCATCCTTTAAACACCTGCATCCTTTAAACATGCCTTGCTGTCTCATCTGTGATGCTCTTGGCAGTGGTGAGGCAGCTGGGGGAAGATGCCATTGCTGCTTATTGAAGTAATCATAATTGCTTGCTAAGGCCTGGGTCCCTGCCACTTCTGGGCCTCAAGTATGCTCATGGTCTGTCCCAGACCAGCTCTGTAGGGTCCCAATCATCTTTTTACAAACTGAGCATATAAATGTGTAATAAACAAGTCTCTGATGCCGAGCTGGTGCCTGTGGGCATCCCCATTCAATCATGAGTTCAGGATTTAGGCCACAGAAACCAAAATACTTATTTGAATCTAATACTAGTGAAAACATAACTAGCAGTCTGGGCTTGGAATGATTTACAAATGCATTTATAATACAGATGTGGTGGGAAAAGTGGAGGTTTTCATTCTCCTCTATTACAAGTGCTCCTTTCCTGACATTTCCATAGTATCCTGGCTTTGTTTCATTTGTGTTGTAGAGACCTCATAGCATCCTTCCAGTATCTGAAGGGGGCCTATAGGGATGCTGGGGAGGGACTCTTCATTAGGGACTGTAGTGATAGGACAAGGGGTAATGGGTTCAAACTTAAACAGGGGAAGTTTAGATTGGATATAAGGAGGAAATTCTTTCCTGTTAGGGTGGTGAGGCACTGGAATGGGTTGCTCAGGGAGGTTGTGAATGCTCCATCCCTGGCAGTGTTCAAGGCTAGGTTGAACAAGGCCTTGGGTAATGTGGTTTAGAGCGAGGTGTCCCTGCCCATGGTAGGGGGGTTGGAACTTGATGATCTGAAGCTCCTTTCCAACCCTAACTATTCTATGATTCTGTGATTCTATGATTCTATGTATTTACTAGCTGATGGCAGAGACCCAATGCATGGACATTTTACGTGAATGACAGCAGAATTTGGGCTTGTGTACGTAAGATGAACAGGAAAGAGATGCCAACCAAAATTAGAGGGTGGTAGCCTTGAAGGTGCAGAAGGATAAGGTAGACTGGTTAACAACAGGAAGGTGAACTCAACTGAAACTTTCCTTTAGCAATATTCAGGAAGAACTCCAACTTGGAAGTACAAGAACTAAAGGTAAGTTACATGTAACTGTATGGAGAAGATGTGTGAGGTGTCACTTTCTCCTGGTCTTACCTTCTTACGCACCTGCTGTTCTTTGGCAGAATGAGCTTTCACGTGCTTGCGCAGGGAGCTGGGGTCGGTGTAGCGTTTGGAGCAGCCAGGAATCTGACAGGCATAGGGCTTCTGTAAACGTGAGCAAAGGGAAAAGAGTTCACATTCCTCTGCATGGCTGCAGCCAGCACACAGAGCTGGGGGACGGCTGTGTCTGTGGAACACAGCGTTAAGCCTGAGCTGTTTGCTCTGCCGTTTCCACGTTTGCTCTGTCTCCACTTTGCACACAAGCCTGACATGATGCAAATAGAACCACATTGAGAGCTCTGATTTTGCACTCTGTGCAGGCACTGAGAGCACTTGACACATCGATACTCTGGCATGTTGGGTATAGATTACTGGGCTGGATTAGATGCTAATGAGCTGTAACTGGATTTAAAGTAGACAAAATGATCATTAGATCACCCAGTGCCATTATAAATACAGAAGCTCTGGGTTTGAGTCCTGATTTACATAGTTTTTACAGTGTTCCATATGCAGCAGAGCAAAACTTGTGGCATAGCACGCATTTGATTGCCTTCGTACCTTGTTCCTGTTTTGAATAACAACAGCGATGTTTTTCTTTTTATAACTCCTAACCAAACAACCTGCATCAAACATTAACATCTGAGCAAATCAATGCACAAAGAAAAACCCACTATTGTTGATACTGTTGGGAAGAACTTCCCGGCTGGTTTTGGCATGGGGCAGAGCTTGCTGCTTTTGTGTGTAGGAGCAGTATGAGCACTACCTCCTGGGAAAACCACCTGAGTCTGGGCGGGCAGTTCCAGTGCTCTCCTCTCATAGGAAAATGAATGAATAAATAAATGAATAAGGATGCTCTAGTTTAACCGCTGGTTCTGGGGTCCCAATGACTGAAATCCTCACCAAGTTCTTCTAGTCATGCCTATTCCCAACGCGTGAGACACCATCTTTGTGTTACAGCACAACCTACAAATGGATGTGCAATTTCCAAGTTAAGCAAAAGGACTCTGGTGCTTGTTATTAAGTAACCATTGACTTCAGTGTAGGAAAGAGTGCTGCAGGTCAGAGCTCACAGAGGTTTAAAGTTGAGCAGAACGTTCATTTGTATTCTGTTTCCTTGCCCCATCTGTCAGCACTACCTTAGCCTGCTCACTTGGACCAGTGAGACCTTTCGGTGTCTTCTCAATGGCAGAGAACTGGTTTGTCACAACCTCAGTGTCACAGTCTTCGATTCTGCTTGGTTTCAGACAGAGGATGCACAAAGGGAAATAAAACCCCACAGATCTTGGGAGAAGTGACTGCGAGGACCTTTAAACAAGTTGCTCTGCTCCTGGAGGGGTGATGACATGCCCTTGTTACCACAGGGACACATACGTTCTCTTTGTTCTGGAGAAGGATCTACTTCCAGATGATTTAGTAGAGGTTCCATCAAACTACAGCAGTAAGTCTCTGAAATGATTTACAGATTCTCCTTTTGGAGAAGATGAATGATGGGGTGACCTATACTGAGAAGCTTCAGAACCAGTTCCAAATGCACTCAATAAGGAATAAGCAGTCTATAGAAACCCCTTTTCTTTGTAAGTACCTCCAGAGGATAAGTGTTGCTGCTCTGTCCAGCCAGCAGGAAATTTCTGAAGGAATAATAGAATCATTCACCAACTCATGACCTTACAGGCTAACACAGCACCTACCCAGAAAGTTACAGGGAAAAGCAGATTTATTGGGAGTGTCTGGAACACAGAGAACTGACACCCGAGGAAAAACTATGGAACACTTTAACAAATCCCTTGGCAGAGAAACTAGCAGAGTATCTTTTAAATCATTGATGTCATTCAGATTAGTGATAGAATCAGTTTAGTGATAGGGAAACTAGGTGAAAATCTGACTGCCCTGGGAAAGCTTCATGGCTGTTTGCTTTGACATTCCTGGCTGTTAATGTTGTCCCCTGAGCTAATGGAACGTGTGGTCTGTACAGTAGCACCATCCCATAGCTCTGTTACTTCTAACATTCACATAAGCACACAACACACTACGTTAGGCCACAGGACTTCATTACACCAGGTAAGTAGAAGTTAATAACTGTGTTGTAAGACCACAGAAAGAGTTCTGAAGAACCTGCAGCAGAACAGCATGGAGGGTACGTTTAGACATTTGGGAAAGTTAGTAGAAAATGATTACTGTACCTTTTTCCTGCTTTATGAGCATTTCAGGTAATAAAGACAAAGGGAGAAGAAAAGAAAACAGCAAGTTAAGAGATTTGCCTTCAGTAATGCACAGAACAACAGATATAGGAATTCTTGCTTATTTTAGTAACCCCTTGAATTCTCTTTCAGAACTAATACATGGCATTTTACTTGTGACTTTGGCTAATAAAAATACCATCTATTCGATTCAGGCAGTTCCCTTTCCAAACTGCACCCGATTCCGTGTATCCGCTTTCAAAACAGACACGTTTGAGAACTAATTACAAATGCAAATATCTCAGGTTGACTGTCAAATAAATAAAACATTGTTATTGTAAGTGTGCTTTGGGTTGGAAAATGTGACTGACTCGCTTCTCTTACTTGTTTGTTTTTGCAAGGCATAATGTACATTCGACATTCCTTAATGCTGCACTGTCTGAAATGTGTAGCTGCTTAAAAAGTAAATATCAATTAAACTCCAAAGTTCTGCCCCATAAGCACTTGGCCAAACGTTAAACTATATAGTCACTCCTTTGCAGAAGACAAAGGAACAGCTCTGCCTGTTATTCTTTACAAGCTCTATGCTGACCACTTATTTAACTGCTCTGCAAAGCTGCCCACTGACTTTCTTTCACCATAATATGGTGATTTAATCTTCCTGGAGCCTCAGACGCTAGACAGGCTCCCATGTTCTCTGCAAGGCACGTGAGACTTGTAGAGTTGAGGCAGACCCTACCAATTTTACATCAGGATTTGTTTCTTACAGTTAAGATTTGTTTTCTTACAGTTAATTTGTATGGTTTCATATGTACAAATTTCATACAGTTATAAGAGATACATTTTTTACCTTTACGAAATTATGTCCAAAATTGTGATGCATTTACCTTCCATGAGACATCTGAGCTGCTTTTGTGTTCAGTCAGAATAGACTCTACTGAAGCAACACAGGGCAGGAAGCAAGACAATGACACACATTCCATGCAGCAGCAGTGACTCAGCTTTCACTCATGCTGTACCTTACTCTACTGCTGCCTCCTCTTACGGGAACAAGAGCAATAGGAGAGTTTGCTGAGTAACTTATCCTGAGTAATTTGTTCCTCAGCATGAGTAAGCCAGCTGAATTTGCCTTTCTGTGATCAAGACCTCCTCAAAGCACATGCAATTATATAGAAAAGCACAGCTGCCTGTAGCTGACGCTCCTCATGAAAAGGAAAAGTCACCCTCCAGTTGGAGAACAGATTGTGTACAAGGAGCATTGGAAAACTCAGAGCAGCTCCCAGTTTGAAATCATGCTTACGGTATCCAGGTGTGTTCGCTGATGCTTTGCCCGGTCGCTGGAGTTGCTGAAAGCTTTCTGGCAGCCGGGATGCTGACACAGGTATGGCTTCTCCCCAGTGTGGCTCCGGAGGTGAATCTTAAGGTTCTCAAGCCTAGAAAATGCCTTGTTGCACCCTTCAAACTGAAAAAGTCATAAAAAGTCATTGTAAAGTACTAATAAATAAACCATGTGCAGCCATAATGAGAACAGTGTAAGATCCAAGTTGGACATGCAATAAATCAACCAACATTCAAACATCTGTTGAAATCTATGGATGAAACACAACATTTTGTGCTGTTCATTTAATTTGTCACTGAAGACATGGTGTGTAGCTCAGTAATAATACAAGGGTTATAAATATCACACATGTTCTGCCTGAAGTACCAAACGCTTAAAGTCGTGGTGTCACAACAGAAGATTTCAAGTGTTGTGATGAGTTCTCTTAGATGCTGCCTGGCACAGGAACCCCTGTGGGCAGTAACAATCAGCTGCTGCAGACTGAGAGGAGCAGAAGCTGTTTGTGGCGGATTAGAACCTGGTTTCAGATGTCTGAAATACTATCCAGTGGAGCAATGAGCACGGACTATTACAAGAAGACCTGATCCATTTGAAGAGCAATCCAAAAGAGCTCTGCTGTTATTCTGCACCCTTTTCTTTACCAGCCCTATCATTCAGATCTGCTCTCAGCATTTATACAACCAGTAACCTGAGCAATTCTGAGTTCTTAAGCACCCGTTTCATTAGTAATAAAGTGCTGCGTGGCATTCATAACAAAAGTAGCTGTTTCAAATTAAATCTGAATAAATAAATAACATTTCCAGCTACTAGGCTGAGGGAAGGGTGTTTTGCATTGCTCACTGATACATTTCAGTGAAGGCACTATCCTAGGGTGGGCTTTGGGAGCTAATAGGTGAACACAAATACATGTGAATGCACTTTCATGCGCCAGCAAACCCATAAGATGCACCCAGGCAGTTACACATGTGTATAAACACTCACATGCACACGTAATCAAGTGTCATGGTATGCACATACTCTGCCCACTCTGCGTTGCAGCTTCATGACACTGGATCTTCCAGTGTCTCTAGACAGATAGAAACCTGGCTGCTCTCTGATTTGAGATCTCAAAGAATGCATTAGAGAAACAAAGGCCAATTCACATCAACACTAACTACTAAAAGAAAATAGGTGTATCTTAAACCCACTGTTCCTTGAAGCCAGATTTTCTTGTATGATTCTTGTTCATGAGTGAATTCCTGACCTTCATAAAATTAGTGCTTTGTCACTTCCTTCTGCTGAGTCAAGGTTTCGTTCAGCAGCTTAGCACTCACTGCTATGGTTCCTCAGATGGCATCACAGAAACTACTGCCTTGCCAATCCCCATCACATTCTATTTGTGGCACTAACACCCCATATACATTGGTGTGTGCAAGCCCCTGACTTAGCTAGTGCATCCAGCCCTGCAGGCAGTGGGAAGGGAGAACAGATGCAGATGGAATCTAGAAGATGCTGCGAACTGGAGGCACCTGAACTCCTGGTGCTATTTAAACTAATGATGGAGAAAGGTCCATCATACCCTGCTACATTTTGCAGGCTGTGTTCTGTCTTTGGATGCAGATCAGCTCTGCAAACTACAGATTAAACACGGCAAGCATTCCAACACACAGGCAGACTTCAAATTTCTGCCTTATGCAGCTACTCCTACATGAAAGGACCACGGTGCCTTTTACTAGCCTAAACATTTTACTGCCCTGGGCAGATATTGTATCTGTCTGAATGGCATATTTGGATCTGATGTACAGATTTCTATCTTTCCCTATCACAGCTATCATGATAGAACCAAAGTCACCTGAGATATGCAGTCTGCATCTTCAGAGCTTGTGCAGGTCCCTCTGGACATCATCCTGTCCCTCAGGTGTGTCAACCACACCACTCAGCTTGGTGTCCTCTGCAAACCTGCTGAGGGTGCACTTGGTCCCAGTGTCTGTGTCATTGACAACGATACTAAGCAGTATCGGCCACAGTGCGAAACCCTGAGGGACACCACTTGCCATGGATCATTCTTCTTTTCAAATAACCTCCAGAAAGATCCCTCAATCCCACAAATGTCTCAGCTTCAGCTACAAAGCACAATGTGGGATTTCAAAGGGGCTTGAGGATGGTGAGAGCTATTTGATCAGCTGAGAAGGCTACTTACAGGATCTCCCAGACATCTGGCCCCAATCTGTCACTGCTTAATCCTACCATCTTAAACATTTTGTTGATGTTTGATGCCTGGGTTAACTGTAACAAACGCTGTGTGATCCTCAATGTCTGTAAATGTCAACAGAGCTCGTCAACAAGTTCATCAATAAAAATAATAACTATATGGCAATTACTACTTTTGTCTTTACTCCAAGGTTGTTAATGTGTGCTTCAGACAGTGCTGTGCTACACAGAGACACTAAACAGTGCCACACGATTACAGTAAGTAGCGTGATGCAGTTATTGCATTTGAGAATGACTGCTGCTTTTAGAATAGTGCTTCTACTAGGACAAAATATGTTCTAGAAGCTTACAGGACTGAATGAGCTCACTGCCATCTGGAAATACATGTGTTATCTTTATTTTACACTAAAATCTTGCTGGCGTGGAACTGCTGCAGCATCATGTATTTGAAAGGCATATTTATGAAAACACTGAATTATCTCACAGTCATCCAAACACATCACAGTTTTCCTACTGAAAACAATTTAATCTAATAACTCTAATTGCTTAAAATGGTTTTTCTTTGCTTCCACGTTATACTTGGAATGCACCTGAGAATGCTGCCATGCAGAAATAACAGCATATTCCCCAAAGGGTTTATATTATCACATGTTTACCATTTTCATAAGCATATTTAATCGCAGTCCTGTCTGGAATATCTGTCAGTGGGACAGATCAGAAGAAATAAACTATAAACTGAACAGCTCAGACCATAAGGTGAAGCAATAACTGACATTTTCTTAGGAAATGAGTTATGACTGAGAAAGAGAAGCCTTCACAGTTGTAGTGCTAAATAGGTCCAGTGTGCCATTAGAGAAAGCTCATTAATATACACCTCTGCTCTCTGCTGCAAGATCAGTTAAACAAGCTGCCTTTTCTTTCTAGACCTGAAAGGGAAAGAGCAGGTCATATTGGCTGCTGACATCTCAGACAGCCTACGGATGGAAAACCCAAAACATTTCATTCCAAAGCATTTAATACTATCAATAGGAAATCTTATGTCTGGTCAAAACATCTAGAGGCCTTGTGAACATTGTGAAATGTTCTTTCTTCCCAAATGATTACAAAATTGGGAGACTTTTATTGAAAATATATTATGAGAAAAAGGATCCTGTGAGGATACGTAGCCCTTCTGGAAGGGAGGAAACAGCCACCCCACTCTTTAATAGCAGCAGTGTTTTATAGCACACTGAGCCTAATGTTGGAGACATGGCAGGAAGCATACGAGGCTCCAAATTGTTACTGATCAGTAACTTCAGCACACGGGTTGTTCTCCCTCCCCAACACAAGAATCCAAATACCTGATTTGGTGCTTTGGTTTTTCGCAGCTAACTCCTGCCTGGATTCATTTCTAATTCTCTCTTGCAGCTACAATGCAAAGCCCTGAGCCTGCACATACTTGTGCATGAGTACCATGACTCATGCAAGGAGTTTTATTAAAACTCAACAGAGCTATGTGCCTACATAAAAAGCAACCCATAGGACTGAGCTCTCAGCTTCCCAGAGAATCCCAGTTGGTACAGCCACATTCAAATGTGCAGATTTAAATTGCTGGAAGCTGCTTTTTTTCCCATTGTGGTAACAAAATAACGGGAGATACCTGTAACAGAAAAAGGACCTGCCAGTTTCCGTGCTTTGGGGGTATTTATTGAAGTCTGAACAATATATGTTTGCAGAGTAACACTTCTACATGATACTTCATTTGAGTCCTGGGGAAAAATTGCTTGTACTTGGTTTATTATTTCTATTACAGAAGAAGCATTTTGGGCTGTAGCCAGACTATTGGACAATTGGTGGTGTGTAGGAGAAATGGTAAAAGGGCTCAGAAGAGGGAAAAGAAAATATTTAGGAAAGCCTCAGTATAAATGCAACACATCCTTCACTTGTTGGGGTTAGGGCAATTACAGCCAACTATTTGACATCAACGCCATACACCAGTGGCTCGTTTTAGTTGATGCTGTTAGGTTGCATATTTCCTAACTAACATAAAACTGGAAAGTACTAATACCTGCCCCTCTACTCTGCTCTCGTGAGTCCTCCCTTGGAGTACTGTGTGCAGTTCTGGTGTCCTCAACATAAAACGGACATGGAACTGTTGGAACAAGCCCAGAGGAGGCCACAAGGATGATCAGGGGACTGGAGCACCTCCCATATGAAGACAGGCTGAGAAAGTTGGGGCTGTTCAGCCTGGAGAAGAGAAGGCTGCGTGGAGACCTCATAGCAGCCTTTCAGTATCTGAAGGGGGCCTATAGGGATGCTGGGAAGGGACTCTTCATTAGGGACTGTAATGACAGGACAAGGGGTAATGGGTTCAAACTTAAACAGGGGAAATTTAGATTGGATATAAGGAGGAAATTCTTTCCTGTTAGGGTGGTGAGGCACTGGAATGGGTTGCCCAGGGAGGTTGTGAATGCTCCATCCCTGGCAGTGTTAAAGGCCAGGTTGGACAGAACCTTGGGTGACATGGTCTAGTGTGAGGTGTCCCTGCCCATGGCAGGGGGGTTGGAACTTGATGATCTTAAGGTCCTTTCCAACTCTGACTATTATGATTCTATGAATACATTGAGAACCCTGGAGGAGGTGTTTGATCAGCACGCATCACAGAATTAAACAAGGCTTTGGGCTGTCTCCTGACCACCACACCCCTCCAGTACCAGGAGCTGTAGATGCATGAGGGATGCAGACCTGGCCCATGAAGCTGTAACAGCATTCATGAGGCTTTCAACAGCAACCTGGTCTGATCTGCATGCACAGACTTCTGTGGCTGCAAAATCCAACCACCTCCCTGCCAGTGTCCCCTGAGATGGGATTCCTCTGCTCTCACTCTGCTGCCTAAAAGAAGAATGGCCTTGTCTGAGCTCCCAGGTCCCTGGGGAAGGGCAGGTCTGCCCAGCATGAGGTCAGCAGCTAAGCTCAGTGGGACCCATCCTGCTCGGTAGGTGCCTGTCCCCCTCCCCTTCTACAGAGGCAACCTTGGTCTGGCTTTCTGGATTTTGCTTTTTAAAGATAGTTTTACTTGTTTCCCTGAGCATATCTGGCATTGCATTTGAGTTTTATCCACCATCTCTCAAGGTCTGTTGTCACACTGAGTGCAGAAGATCAGCTCATCAGGGCAGGCACTGAGTCTTAGAATGTCTCTAAGGAGCACTGCCATGTTTTGGCTCTTAAAAGTCTTGCTCATGTAATTGCAAACCATCAGCTATTAAGAAAAGGGTTCAAAAGCACTGCAGTATTCATAGATTTATTTCTTCTAGCACCAGTAGGTCAGGCACTTCAATGAGCACACAGAGCTTTCCATACATCTTCCCTCAAAATCCCAAATATCTGGGAAACTATCAGGCCATCCTGTCATTTCCACAAGACCCCATTGCAAGTCTCAGAATTCTTTCTCATGATCCTTCTTTAATCAAGCAGAAGGATAAACATTTTTCAAAACAGGGGTACTTGCATTGAGTTTCTGCAACACATGAGAGCGAAGCAGGAAACTCGGGGATATTTTACTATCAGCAGCATGACAGCCACAAATTTTGCCATAAGGTTTTGCTAAATATGTCATTTGGAAACCAAACAATTTTCTGAAACCTCATTACAGTTGGACTGAATACACTATTATGGCTTGCAGGCAAAAATAACATTGCATGGAGCAACATCTTAGAAAACACAATGTAAAATTCATATGGTCATGTAATAAGGAAAGGAGACACCCCCACCCCCCGAAATCTACATGTCAGGCCCCTTATTTCCTCATATGTAATTGGGAAACTGTTCTTTATTTGGGATTTTTCAAATAGCTTGCAAGCTATTTGAAATTAAAGGACAACACATCCCAAGATTTGCTGTTCCGGTATCTGAAGGCAGATTTGCTTGTTTTGGGGACAAAATTATGACTGAACAAAATCAATTGAAGCCCCTTTCCAGCTGTGCCAGCAGAGAGCCACAGAGAAAACCAAAATGCTTCCCTCCAGTTCTTTTACATTTTCTTTTTTACCCAAAATTACATTTTACGACAAAACTTGTTCCTCTGCATTAGTAAGGCACTGTCTTACCTCACTTGCCAAGGAAACGTTTTGATTGCAGTTTGCGCCTAACACATCACCACGTTACACCTATCTCTTTGTAAAGACCTTACTGTCTCTTGCCTATGTCGTTGGGTCACATTTTAGTCATGCCTTAAGACATCAGTCTGTGCAGGCTGGTTCGACTGCAAACAGTTCTGTACAGAGTGCATCCCCTGCCATGCAAGATGGAATAGGTGCTCATCAGTCACTTACAGGGACGAGACTTTGCAAGTCTGAAGTGAAGAACTAATTGGGTTAAGATAACTAATGCAGTGCCAGCACACAGGGAGAATCCATTGTGGCTCATGTGGACTAACCAGTTGGGGGAAAAAATAAAGAAGAAAGAATCAGAGAGGACAACAGTAAGAAGGAAAAATAGAAGGGAAAAAAAAAACCCACCCCAAAACTTCTGGCTGATTAGCATAGCACAGCATCTTAAAAGGCCAAAATACCACATGTGTGGCATGTTACAAAAGAAGATTAAAATAAAGGAAAAAATATCCAGAGAACCATGAAGTCTAAAAACATCTGGAGTTTTATAGCAACAAGGAGGAAAAAATCAAAAACATAATTGAAAAAAGTCCACTGCGATACATTATTGTACAATGAAGCTTAATGGAATTGAAAGGAGAAGAGATGAAAAGGCAAAATAGAAGGGGGGGGGGAGAAATAAACAAAAAAAGGCATTTGTATTTTAAAGATGTCACTGAGGGTTTTTATCCCAGTTATTAAAAATTACACACCCTGCTTCTGTAAGCTGTCCCTGTAATGTGTTGAGCGCTCTCTTTCAGCAGAGGACATTCATGCGTGCTGGGGAATTCATCAACCCTTTTGTACCCCAGTGTAGGGGCACTTTGCGCTCTCGGTTCTGTGGGAGACATCTGCAAAGAGAATGGCAGAGAAACTGCCTGCCCTGGTTCACATTCTGAACCCAATGGGAGATTCAAAGAGAGGCAGGACAAACAAGTAAATTAAAACTGTTTGCTAAAAACAATGTGCACATTCAGGAACTAAGCAAACAGTCTTAAGCTGTTATATTGGCATCAGACACTAGAGCCAACTGCAGTTG